AACCGTTCCAGCTCCTTTGGCTAAACTGTGCAAGTGACGAGCTACTTTCCCCAAAAAAGTCTCGAATGAGTTCATCTCCAGCTTTCACTCTCTACTGAGCCTGTTCCTAACGAAAGTGCCATTGTAGTCCTTCATCGATAGGAACTATCCGAAGCTTGCTTTTTGAAATTGTCAAAAGTGGCCTCCAGTTTCAGCCATCACTTTGCCACTTTGTTCTTATTGTCTTTGAAGGGACTCTCCAGGTCAGCAACCTTTTCTCGTTTTGCCCTTGCAACCTTCGCCACCCGTTTTGGAAAAAGTTGACTTTTGATGAGCTTGGTGGAAACTCGGTCTATTCCAAGTCTTTTCTAACCATAGTTGGACTTTTGAGCTTTTCATCTCTTGTATTATAACCCCTTTATCCATTAATACAGACTATTTACGTTTAACAAACACGTTTTTGGTGTATCAACACCTCTTTTGAATGATATTAATGATAAAAAAAACAAACATGAAAACAAAAAGTTAGTAAAATAAGAAAAATAGTAATGAAAGTAGAAGAGGTAAAAAGAAAAAAACAAGCAACATGGTTAGGGTAAAAACATCTTAGGGTTTGAAATAGGATTTCGAGGTAGGCTCTAATTCTCCATCGTCTCCAGGTTTAGGTTCTAAAAAACGGTACTCGAGTTCTCCTCGTTGGTGCCCCCTTAGGCTTGCCAGACCCTTAGTCCTAAGCCTATTACAAGCTTGTGTGGACTAAGTTAAACTCGAGATGACACATTCCCTTATGTTTGTGCGGTAAATAAATTCACACGAAGATATAAGGTATATGAATCCCGAATGCTACTTGCTAGGCCTGTGCGGTGAATAAATTCACACGAAGGCGTCGCTTTTACCCCTACTTAAATAGGGTTTAGAGTTCGGGTATAGAGTCTTAGGTGAAAAACCAGTTTGGAAGGATGAAATCATTAGAAAACAGTTAATATAACTATTTACTCGAAAATATAATCAAAAGTAAGCAATAAAGATCAACATGTTACCTTAAAATTTAAACTTACCTTTTTCGTTAAAAAGACAACTGGAAATTACCTTAGCATGACTCACTTACCTCTCCCCAGCGGAGTCGCCAAGTTGTCGGAACCGCCTTTCGGTTGAGCCCGGAATTGGGCTCCGACTTGAATTAAACGAATTGGAGTCGCCAAAGATTATTTATTTTAAAACAAATGGGTTAGCACCCTTGAACTGTCCTTTCGGTACTATGTAATTTTCAGTTGTCTTTAATTAAGAAAATTGTAAGTTTAATTAAAAAGGTAAAAAAATGATATGAATTACTTACCTCTGATAATTTTAAATGTGTACCCTTAGAAAGTCAAGAAATATGTTAGAGAAAAGATGAAAATAAATAAAATAGAAAAAATACAAAGGAAATAAAGAAAATAACATGAAAAGAGAAAAGGATAAAGAAAATAAGAAGGAATAAAAAAATAAAAATAGGAAAAAATGAAAAATAAATAAATAAATAAATAAATAAAATAACAATCTATATACAATCAGTAAATAAACAATAATAAAAAAGAAATAAAATGAACATAAAGGAAACAAAGATAAAACCAAAAATAAAATTAAAAAAGAACAATGTAAAAAAGGAAAAAGATACATATATATATATATATATAATATGAAGTAATAAAAATGTTCAAAATAAAAATAATTAAAATATATATATACAATAATGATAGACGAAAGAAAAATTAAAAGTATATATATATATATATATATATTTATAATAATAATACTAAATAATTAAATATTAGGAAACATATTAATAATAGTGGAGAAATAAAATAATGAAAATAAAATATAATAATAAAAATTAAAAAAAATGGTAAAAACAAAGAAATAAAAAGAAATATGTATATATATATAATATTAATACTAATGAAAATAAAAAGAATATAATATATAAAAAGAATAAAAAATAAAAAGGAAATAAATAAATCAAAATGCGAGGGGACCAAATTAAACAAAAAAAATAAATCCGAAGATGAATTTCGAAGCAATTAAGGTATTAAAGCTTATTTAGGGATTTAAATTGGACATTAAAAGCAGAGAAGGACCGAAAAAGGGATTAGCCCCTTTCTCTTTAGAAAACACGCGGGTCATGCGTATACGGGTTGGGTCGGTTGGGGCTCCGTGGGTCGAGTATTTAAGCAAAAAAGATTTTAAATTTTTTTCATTCTTCTCATTTTAAAGCCAAACCCTCTCCCATTTTGAGAGTTTTCTCTCATTGTTCTTCCCTTGGTGAAGAACACGGCCAAGCATCAGTCCAAAATTCCAGAATCTAGCAGCCACCGCATCGCCGGCTGCCGTTCATCGGTGGTGGCCAAACAAAAAAAATCACCTTTCGAAAGGTTCTTTTCCCCTCTTTCCGAAAACAAAGTTGATTTTCTTAAAAACTTCCCGAGGCAACGTAGATCTAGAAGAAACTTTGAAAAATTTTCTTGGTTTTTTTGAATGAAAATGACGGGGAAACGAGCCCAACCCCTACATGCAAGCCGAGAATTAACAATGGTGAGTCATTTACCTTTTGTTTCCTTCGAAAATTTGCAAAAGAATGCTTTGATTTGCTCCGAATATGCGTATAATTTTCTCGTATATTTCTCTCTTTATTTAGTATTCACTGTGTCCTTTACAATAATGATGTACAAGCTTTTTTATACCCAAAATAATTCTATTTTTAGTAGAGTCCTAATATGATGAATCTATTGTTATTGGTTGTGGTTGTTGGTGAGGGCCTCGTGCTTTCTTTGCGCCAGACGTTACGGGGTTATTGGAGGTGAGACGTGCGACCATGAAACTCGAGTTGTTGGGACTGTTGCGCGACACTGTGGAGGGATCTGCTAGGGTTCTGGAAACCCTAGCCCTGGTTCGGGTTACTGGAAACCCTAGCCCTGGTTCGGGTTACTGTTGGTTCACGGGTCAGCAGATTCGGGTCACGTGAAGTGTTGTTGGTTTCTGTTGGGCCACACAACGGGCTGCAGAACTCTTGTAATAGTTATGGGCCACCTGTAAAATGTAACATAATGAATATATATATATATATATATATTATATAATATAGTTTGCAATAAAAACAAAAATAATATTCATGGAAGAAATTTGATGTCTTCAGGTGGATCGAGTAAGTTAAAAATGCTTTAATTAGTCGAATTAAAAAGTATTATTTTATGATTCATAATTTATTTAAACTTTTTAAAATCAAATTTATGAAATTTGAATCAAGTTGAATTGTTTGAACTTTTATTCAAATTTATTTGTAATTATTTCTAATATTATGGTACAAATTGATTTCAATTGAAATGATCTTCTCTAACCATATAAGATATAAATACATATAATTTTCACATTTTTTTCACATGGATAAGTAAGATTTGTAATACTATTTATAGGCCTGTAAATGAACTGAACGTTCAGCGAACCGTGCAGCGGAAAGTTCGTTTATGTTCGTTTATTTATTAAATGAACGAACATGAACAAGATTTTGCGTTCGTTTAATTAAATAAACGAACATGAACAAAGGGCTCGTTCGTTCATATACGTTCGTGAATGTTCGCTTATATGTTCGTTTATGTTCGAACAGAGGGCAAGTTGAATATGTTATGAAGATTATTGAAGTTGTTTGGATTTCAAGAAGATTATTTTGTTGAACAAATTAACTTTAAGACTTTATTATGTTCATATAGTTTATTTATGATTTATGTATGTTTTTTCCGTATTCGAACAAATTAACTCTAAAGTTGCAGGTTATATTAATGAATTTTAAGTTGTTATTATTGTTGTTTACTTTTTTTACATTCGTTTGTTGTGTTCGAATAATTTTTTTTTGTGTTTGTGTTGTTCGTTTATGTTCGTTTGTTGTGTTTGTTTATGTTCGTTCGTTCGTGTTTCGTTTATTATTTAAATGAACGAACATTAACAAGTTATATTCCTTAATGAACGAACATGAACAAAAAAAAATTGTTCTTGTTCGTTTATGTTCGTTTATTTATTAAATGAACGAACATGAACATACCTCTTTTTATGTGCGTTCGGTTCGTTTACAGGCCTAACTATTTAATAGATTAAATACCATATAAAATTATAAAATATATTTATAAAGTTACTTTTATAAAGAAAGGATTTTGATGACAGTATTGACAAGAGTATAAATGATTCAAAATATCGATGGAAAGAGAAAATCTGCACAAACACAAAATGTGATTAAAGGATTGAATTGAATAAAATAAAAATTGACAGTCTAGATTGTAAACAGGGGAAATTTATTGTTAAAATAAGAAACTAAATTGTATAAGTATTCTATAAAGGTGGAGGGGCATATATTTCAAATTTGATAAAAGAATAGACTTGAAACGAATAAATAATTAAAGAAAAACAATCATGAGAAGTTGAAGAATGAATTGTAAAAAGAAATTTTATAAAAAAAATTATAAGCTACATAGATATTTGCAACACATTACTTGCAACAATTTCTTTTATGTGATATCAGTTTTATAGGTTGAATCCTGAAGGGTTCAATCTCAGTTTTATGAGGCAACTGAAATATTTTTTCCCTTCAGGATTCAAACCTGATTGATTGAAAAAAGATAAAGCAAATAACAACGCCATATTGATAATTGCAGTTGAAACACAAGACTTCTCACTTTTTCAACAGTTAGTTCTCAAAATATACATATAAATTCAGCATACCTCCAGTCCTAAAGATCAAAATACTGGGGGGGGGGGGGAATGTTTGTTTCAGTCAGAACTCTGCTAAATGTTGTATAAACTCAAATTTGAAGTTGGTTTTTAGATATCAGTCTACAGATATACACTCAACACTGCATACCAACGAATCTTCAGTAGAGGAAGTTGTTTATAATGAATTTTCAACCAAAAATGCAGGCAAATTTAAACTTAAAGATAGCAGCATTGGTGGGAGAAAGATAACCACTCACCGCAACCTTTAAATACGAATGAATGAATTCGTTAGTGGCAGCGCAAGTGCCATGTAAACTGTAAACATTTGAAAGGAAAATGAAAAACACATACTTAAAATAGGAGAAACATAAGCCACATCTTGGTCTCCAACTTCCAAATTTCCTGTCCAAAGTTGAAACAATATACCGGTATTCATATATGCGAATGCAAAGTATAAAGCATTTCTGAGACAACTATTGTACACTAGCACATTCGTAAATTGTTTTACCGGTCAATGAACCAAGCCAGGTCCAAAATCCACCTCGGCACATTCCAAAACTGAATCACGGCTGTCATTTCCATGTCTCATGGAGATTTTAGATAACCGGGTGATACTATATGGTGCAAGTAGAGAAGAAACAGGAAAAAGAAAATGTAAGATTCAACTATTGGTTCAACCAGAGTGGAAACTGGTTCCAGATTCTAGTCAATGTCATAAACCTTCATCAGTGTTCATCCAATTCCAAGTCAATGCACTGATTGTTTTGAGAGCATGTCAGTGTATTTGAGCCAGGAACCTTTAGGGCGTAGCTTCCAAAGCTGTCACTTATGCATCCAAACTCTGACTCATCATCATCGCTATCGATGCTTTTAGGAGTCACACGGTTCTGATAACTTCTACGCCGGATGAGAAATACATTGAAGTAATAGCTTATCAAGTCTTGCCAAGTCTTCTCGGGAAAAAACTCGGATGCTCGAGGCCAGAATGCATTTAAAGATGGTGATTCTAATTGTACCATATGCTTGAATTTCTTTTCTTCTTCAGCAGTCCACCGAAGTGAGACTTCCTCCCCCATCCCATCAAATCTCCAATGGTAGAACAGTGAACCCAGTTCAAGCTTTAATTTCATCCTGTTCTCAGCAATATGAAATCTAATACACTCAACAGAGTTTGGAATCTGACAGCTGCATGAATTTGGTTGTCTGCTACCAATTGGATCAGTTATAGCTAGTGAATCATATTCGCCACCACTTAAGGGCCACTGCCGTGTGCCTAGCCATTTAGAGTCGGAATCAGAAACAGGACCAGTCCATTCAGGTACTTCAGCTTGAAAGCGGGGACCGACAGCCACTTGTCTTCTAAAAATATCGTCTCCATATGGCTCGACAGTCATGCTCGTATCTAAGGATGATAAATCAATAGCTATAGAGGAAAGCTCCTTAGGGCCACATTCAGAGTGTGTCCTATGAAGACACATCAATTGGCTGTCGAAGGTTGAACCAGAACTACAATGAGAGCAAGAACAAGAATTCGACCTAGAAAGCCTCTCACTGCATCTTAACTTCTCGGTAAAATGGTGATTAAGAAAGTCGTCGTCATACATGGATGGGTGCATCTCCTGATTTTTCTGCAAATTAAACAACACTAAGCCTTTAAAATCGGCAACCAACCTAATTTTGCATCCTAACAAGCAGAGAGTAAAATCAACATTATAAAATTCTTCTTTGATAAAAAGTTTTCCTATATTAAGAATGCATTTATTTCTTACTGTATTCTGACCTCAGAATCTCCTACCTACAGCACTGATTACTATTCCAAACAGTCAAGTTTATACCGTCCAAATTGGTGCTATGATGCTCTAACAAAATTTTAAAACAACTTGCACACATGAAATTTTAAAATCTTTCAACTATATAGTGAAATGTTTAGTATATTTTATTCGGCAACTTTGTTTAACAGATGATAAGAATTTTACCTGAAGGGGAGACTGTTCAATGACTGAATGACCATCCCTTTTCTGCCTTAATGCTTCGCGTGCCCTAATGGCTTGTATCCAGAATTCATCACCTTTATGGTTAATCCACTTAGATGGCTCCAATATTTCCCGAACCGAAGGATCATCGTGACATTTTGCTACCAGCATTACCCAACTCAGCATTTCTGATAAAGATTTTCTTTTTCTCTTACGAGTACTAAATTCTTTCCTACATTCATTTTCGGCATCATCACCATACACCTTCCCAACACGATCCTGCAATCTAAATCTACTGTTAGTATCTGAAACTCCCACTCCATTCTTGCTATCCTTACCAATGAACTTCTTATGTTTTCTATATTCAATTAGAGCCACTTTGTTCACCACCCCTTGTCGGCCAATCCTATTCGCAAACAAGCCTCTAAAATCCTTCTCTTGCTCCAATGTCAAGAACCCAAAATTCCCTCCACATGCATTATCTTCCTTTCTATCTTCCAAGTTGCTCCTTAACCATTTTTCAAGCTCATACAAATACTTGGCATATATCAATTTAACCGAAGCCAAAACCTGAAAACCCAAACCTAATTCTTTCACCACAAAAGCCCATAACCCTTCATTCGACACCAACTCATACCCTCCAATCTCTCTAACTACAAGGAAAAGCTTGAGCAAATCTAGTGATTGCCCATCATTTCCAAGCATTGCTGGCATAGGCCTAAACAAACCCTTCCAAGTTACCTCTTTCAGATAACCGGAAAGAACCAGATCAAACAAACATCTTAGCCTATCCTTATTATCACCGAACTGCTCAAGGTCCTTTCCTACATTATCAACATCTAGGTGACCACCCATTGTTCCACACTTGTTTACAATTTCTACACAATCTAAAGCAGCCCCATTGGTTACCATCCTGCCATGAAAGTTAGTACCTTTTCAATCTTCCGGTTAAAAGTGGTTCCTTATTAAACGCCTAATAGAAGACTGATAACATAAAGAAAAAGAAATACATGGAGGTTGGGCGTAAGACCCTTCGTCTCAAAGAGTCCAAAGTTATTACCTTGTATTATGTAGCTGGATATTTAGCTTTGTTGATTAGCTTTGCCTTTCAGGAGCCATCCAATGTAATCTAGAGTTGCAGAAGGAGATATAGAAAGGGAGGGAAAGGAAAAGATTGGAGACAGCCTAGATTAAGGTTGCTGTGTTTCGGGATGTTTTTGGAAATGATTAGTGAGTGACAGCAAGAAAAATATGCAGAGGATTCCGAATCGACTTCCAAGGAAATCAAGCTAAAGACTGAATCACAGTGTATATATATATATATATATATATATATATATATAATGTTTTAATTTAATTCAATAAAATACGAAACTAATGAAAAAAATTAGGTCAAATTGATTGAAATATGTCTGATTTAAAATATCATATCATCCTTAAAAAATAATAATAATTTATTTATTTATTGTTAATTTCAAAGCCTAATTTAAATGTTTTAGGATTTTTTTTTCTTAATTTTAAAATCAATTTATAGAAACATATACTGATACATTAATTAAAAAAAACAAGATTTTTAATATTTTATTTATAATTATTGCCAAAATATCCATTTAAAGCAATTTTTATTAATATGCCAAATTTGCATTTTTTTGGATATTTCCAATTTTTCCCCCAATTTGAATAAAGCTCCGTGATTTTTCAGGACTTCATAAATTAAATTTGTTTATATAAATAAATATGATTAGGAATTGAGTTGTCACTTTCTGATGGGATAATTGATTCCTTAATTATAACCATTTTTTCAATGTTATGTACTTTAAGATACAAAATTTAATTTCATTTATTAAAATGATATTTATCTTTAAATTTGTTGAGTATGAAATGATGTGTCACATTCATTCAATCCAACTTAACATGCGGTATTATATACTAAGTAAAATATATAAATAATATTTTAATTAAATGGTACCTTTTTATTGATTATTAAAATTTTAAAATAAAATATTAATAATAAATAACGTGATAATGAATAAAATTTATAATTTAACTTTCAATTTTTACACTTTAATTTTCCTATAAATAACTAATCACCAATATTTTAATTTTCTATCAATTTAATCTTTATAATAAAAAACTCTAGTATTCATTTCTCAAGCAACAACTGTCACCGGAACCCTACCGACGGTGGTCCTCTTAGAATTGGGTTTTTTCAATCCTCAAACATCGTTCCTCTTGGTTTACGGTAGAAACATGAAGCAGTCACTTCATCCCAATAAGCAAGGTGAAGTCAAAATGTAAAGTTAAAAGATAAAAATAAGAATCTATGCCTCAAAACACACACACAAAAGTTAAATTTGACTTTATTACACTTGGATTTGTGATATCGTGTCCTAAAGAAATATCAAAATGTATAGGAGTGTGTTCAGCATTAATAACTGAATTATGAGCAATTCATGATTCTCTAACACATGCTTAAGGTCTTGGTATCACAAAAGTTATATTAGAAATAGACAGTGCACAGGCTATCTAAATCATAAATGATGAACACAACTGTTCATCAATTGATTTCATTGTATGTATAAATTAAGTTGTAGATAGGTTGTGCAAAATTAACTTGAGGAGAACAGAAAAAGGAGCTACTGTTCATAAAAGTTCCACCAACTTTGTCTCAGTTAGCGCAGCCAGCTCTAGTGATTAGTTTATTTAGTAATAAATCAGGATCATCAAAACAGAAAGTATTCATCATTATTCTTGTGAGCTCTTCATTCCACCACTAATTCACTTTTCCCAATGGATCTCTTTGTTTCAAGGTTAAATTTTTAACCCCCTATACGTTTTTGAAGAGCTAGGTGAAAATGGAAAAGCTCTCGACTTTTGTCTTGTTTTCAGTTGTTCTTTTAGTTGTTGCTTCTTTTCAAGTGAGATCTTTAACCTTAACCCCACCGATAAACGATGATGTTTTAGGGCTAATAGTTTTGAGCATATAAGTTGACAAAAATACCTTTCACCACTTCTCTAATAATTAATTGACATGGGGAGATTCAAACAATATGTGTATTAGCTTTGTATTTATACATATAATCACTATTTTTGTTACCATAGTTGCACAATTATACTTAATAGTGAAATTTACTACGACGTTAATATTATATAATTGTTAAAACGTATATTGCAAGCAATTTCATTTTTTTTCTGTAGAATCACGTATGCGTGAAATGTTACAAAGTTACATTTAAAAACAAACAATGGTAAACAAGCTAATAAGATCAACCCCAATAAATGGACAAATACAAATAATTATAAGAACTTTGATGTAAAAACCAGACTTTTAATCATGTATATACAAACTGCTTGCTCAGTTCATCCCTTACTGTTTCTTGAAATGTGAAGGAAAATTATCTACACAAAATATGAACTTCTCATCACTCTAAGGAGTTCACAAACTCATGACATTATCGCACATAGTCCCACCAGTCCATCAAACAAATTCTCAAATAAAGATGATCTGGAGATGATTGTAGACACATCATGCCACTTACAAAAGTAATCCAAAGAACGGAAGCAAGCATCAGTTCACAAGATCCAAGTTTCCAGACTCATGTAAAAGATATTATATATATATTACGTATGTATTTATATACGTATGCGAGAAGAAAGAGTTCATGTGTTGCTATGGGAAACTAGCAGGTTTCTGCACAAACAAGGCAATGTAAAACTGCATGACTGTATAGTATTCCTCCTAAATATCTAGGGTAATGCATACTGATACTCCATCAAGAATTAAACTTTAAAATGGTATCGAACTTGTTTCTGTGTTTCTTTTTCTGTACTTCTTTCTTCTTCCTCTTCATCTATCCATTTTCAAAGGTTTCAAGTTCCAAGGGGTGAAAGCACAAAGAGACTATGTTCACAAATTGGCAAGACTCCCTTATAAAATGAATGGAAAAGAATCCAAAACCAAATCTGCAGCAGCCGCTAAATATATGATGGCAAATGAGGAGTAAAAAGAAAAAAAGTGAAATTCTGATGGGTTTGGTAAGCTGTAACCTTTTCAACAAAACTTAATTTCAAGCAGCCAAAACTGAGTCCAGCACCAGGGAACTAATCACTAGGCAAGTCAAATATCATTTCCTGCATCAGAACAAGATAAAGACCTTCTTGTTATTTCCTTTGTTATATACAATAATTCCTATTGACTTATTATAAGAGATGAAAATAGTTTCAAGACAAACCTTATCACACACAGGACATGTCTCACTTCTTTCCATCCATTCAAGAATACATGCCAGGTGAAAATGATGTTCGCATTTTGTGATAATTTTTGGATTTTCTGTATCATACTCTGCAGGAAAGAACATAAAAGGGGGTCTATCAACAACCTATAAACATGGCAAGTGGCACCCTTTTTTCCAGTGAGACAGAAAAGTTCATAAATTGCAAGGGGAAGACATACCTTCCAAACAGGTTGGACAACAATCTTCCTCCTCCTTCGTAGACACAATTGGTTCAACTGGTTTTGAAAGTTCTACTTCTAGCCCCATTGATGACTCATTTCCAGTAGTAGCTTGCGCTTTGCAGTCCAATTCCTTTGCATCATCAGATTTTATAGAAGTCTTTTGAGGGCTGAAAGGAACCGTTTCATGACAGGAACCAATATTTGTTGCTTGCACTGCTTCATCCCTCTTACTGTTATGATTTCCTTGGGAAGCGGAAGGAGTTTGAGGATGTCCTAAAGCTGCATCAAATGGAACTGGAGCAGGAGGAGATTGATAAGCATCAGGAACTGATACCTCCAGATTTGTGTCAACCAGCAACCAGGAGGAGAGGGCAGAGGCAGTAGCATTGAGAGAAGATAAAGGCACATGCCTTTCAGAAGCTCTTGGGTTCTGTTAAAAAAGGAAGTTCAACTTAACAAAGATAACGAAAAATATTTCAATACGATAAACAATTTGTTCAACATGGTTGCCTCTTATGGTCATCTCTGGATAAGTATTTGAGTTATCCATTTATAATAAATAATAAGTACGAAAGCAGACACATAAACAAGAAAATCTGACATTCAATTTTTTAGTTTCAAATTGTTCTAGATTTTAACTATGACTCATTTTAGTTAGCATAAGACTATGCAGGTAGAAATCATTACTCATGAGCAACTTAATAATGGGGATAAGGTCACGATCTATGAGCAACCTATGGGCAATACAGAATTAACAATTGGAAACATTTAATAATCAGTCAAGTCATACATTCTGCGCATTTATAATTAGTAAAGATAAAACGTTAAGGCCCCAGCATTTCAGCACATTAACTTCACAAGAAAGATCAATTTAATTCGTTTTTAGTCAAATTATACATTCACCCTAAATTTTGCACTGTGGCACTTAATAAAATACACAGTACTCTACAGTCTACACTGAGCTTGAGGTTAGCTGAAGCAAAATTCAAAACATAAGTCAATTGCACCATGAAAAGTGAGGATGAGAGAATTAGGCTGAAAAAGAAAATAAAAGCAAAAAATGGAGAACAATTTCCATGGAGGAAGAAATTATACTAACATAATAATATGCTGGTGCACTATTTTCAACTCCTCTAGAAGAGCAACAACAGCAGCAACTCCCCATTCCTTTTACTTACGCATACAACACTACTAGTACTTTGTACATAAGAATTCCACACATCACAAGGAGAGAAATCTGTTATAAGAAAAACACTAAATCACTTTTGAAGATGTGAATAGCAAATTGTTCCATTCAGTAAACCATATTCATGCCACATGAAAATGTGAAAAATATTGTAAACACAAAAGCAAAGCTAGAAGCAGTTGGATGTACCGCACTGATATAAAAACAAAAATAGATAGTTCCTGAAAAACAGCATGAAGTTTTTCGAGCAAAAGTAAAACCGAAAAGAAAGTAACAAAAAAACTTGTGTATTCTCACTCACACTTGCCATCAACCACAAACCGAACATAGAAAACACAGACTTTAACCTAAACCAAAGCAAAACTGCCTGGTACTCTACTCTTTACATCACACACTACAAATATTCTTATATTCTGAAAAACTAGCAGAATCATATATGTAAAAACCAAAGCAACATCCGTTACTAATTGTCAAACACAAAACTGTTTAGAAAAATTCTCCTCCTGCTCTGTTCAATTGTCCTGTTATAATTCCATATCCAGAATTTCAACATGAATTCATCAAAATAGACCAATTAAGTCAACAAAACCAGATTTCGATAACAGCAAAAAGCGAAAAAGCAGGAGCACTCCAAAAATCAAGGATGGTCGGAATCTCAAATGTCTAACCAAAGCAGAATTATTTTGAGACAAAACTTTAATTAACCTAAGCGGTAAAACAATAACGAGAACTAAAACAAGTAAATTCAGTAAGATGTCGGTCAAGAGTCGGTTGCCTTCAGTTGTCTTCATCAACTATCGCCTAAAACAAAATTTTAATCAAATAACAAACTAGCATGAGAATAACTAAAACGATAAGTGAAATAGAGAAACTATAAAAGAATCTAAACAAACAAAATCAATCTCCAACGCAAAGCATATCACCACAGCCCAGAGCCCCAGACAACTAAATTTCAGAACGTCGAGAAATAAATCCAGTAAAAACTATGAAACAATTCAACAATTCTAGAGCTAGTAATAAAAGAAAATCAACCTATGCTGGGTTAAACCCTATAGATAACCATAATTTAATCAATAAATAACAAGCCAAATTCAGAAGAAGAAGAAGAAGAAAGTTGAATAGGATATGCAATCACCTTTAGATTGAAACTTGAATGGAGAAGTGAAAATTCAATGATAAAATAAGTTTTGGTTATTTCATTTTGATTGGTTAGGCTTGTTTCGTGTAGGAAAAGGAATTTCAGTCCAATTACCAAGCCTCCATCTCCATTCAAAAAACAGAATTTCACAGAAATGTTGTATTTGGATTTTTTGCTCCACGCGCCAAGCTCTAGTGTTTACCCCACGTAGCATACTTTAAGAGGAATTATTTTAACAAAAAAGCGGCAAAAGATAATGTTTGTTTAGTAAGGTGGGAGACAGTAGGGATCGGGCAGAAAACAAGTGGCATGTGGCTACTAATTACAACCCTTTGTCTTTTGTTTTAAGCGTAAAGTCGTTAATGGTTGTATTTATGCTATCTATATTTTATTTTTATAATATCTTAATATTTATGATGTTATAACATAATTATTATTTAATTTTATGTTATACTTTACAATTATATTATATATTATATTTTATATTATAAATTTATTTAATTTATTAAATGGTTTCAATAATAATAGTAAGTGTTGTTTTGCTTTAAAGTATTAGATTTAAAAAGTTACGTTCGCAATGTTAATCTAAATGTGATTTTTTTAAATAAACCTCGTATTCAATAACCATAAATTGCAGTAATTAGAACAACATCGCGAATACAAGATGGTAAATCAGAACTAAATTCGAATGAAGTAGCTATCGTTGACGCATGACGAGCGAGAGCATTCGCCACAGTATTTACCAATCGTCGGACATGGTGGACGCGAATGCATGGATGAGAATCTAATATCCCTCGAGCTTCTGCAAGAACAAAGCGCAGCACAGACAGATCACGACCAGCTACAAAGGTTGCTTGAATCTGTCATTGATTTTTTTAATATTTTTTTTTTCAAATTTTATTTGTGTTTATTCCATATAAAAAATTATATTATTAATATATATTTTATAGTATTCAAAAATATTTTTGAATCCGTCATTGATGATATTTACAAGCATATTTATCTTAGATAAACATGTTTAGTACTTAAACTATTATTCTTGTTTTGTTTTGGTATATAAACTTTATTTTTTTTAAATGGCATAATACAATAAAATAACTCTAACGTTTGACAGTAATTTCAAATTTTCCCGTATTATTTTTTTGGAACATTTGGGTACAAACATTTATTTTTGGGTCAAAAATAACCCACGCTGTATGAAAACCGTTAATCAACTAATAGTCAACGTCGGATGCTGACGTAGCGCGCACGCGTAGAGGAGAAAGTTGACGTGGACGTCCAGGTCATCCAGATTGCTGACGTGCATGGCACTGCCACGTCATTTCAAAAAAAAATTTATTTTTTTTATTAATTCGAACCAATCAGAGAGTGACACGTGTCACTCTCTGATTGGTACAAAGTTAAACTGGCGAAATGCATGAAGGGGGACTCAAACCTGGATCTCTCAGGTGTATTGCTTCTCGTTTTTCCACCATGCTAGACTATTTGCTCGAGTAACTTATGAAATAGATTGTATTTAACATTCATTATTTCGTCTGAAATTCATTTAAAAAAACAAAACATGTAACATCCCAAACTATGGGTTAGTGACTAAAATGTAAAATTTTAGAATTTGGTGATTAAAGTAGAATAGTTGAATAGTTCAATGATTTATGTGGAGATATTTCCTGAAAGTTATTAGTAATTATTAAATGAAGTGAATGGCAAAAAAATCATTTGACTTAGAAATTAATTAAAAATGTGATTAATAAGGATATAAGGATAAGATGAATGAGATATTTTCTCCAAAACTTCTCTTTATCTTCTTTCTTTCTTCTTCACGTGAAACCCAAAGGCAAAGGTGAGTTTCTTTGTTAGTTAATTATTTGTTGATTTTATGGTTGGGTTTTGATCATTAGATGATAACTAAGCTTAAGGAAAGCTTAAGTTGTCTTAAAATCAAAAGATAAAGAAGTTATGAAATATTAAAGAAAATGGGGTTTTAAGTGAAATTTTGAATAAGAAGGTTTAAATGAATTTGGAGGTTTAATTTGACTTGTCATCTATGAGAATAAGAAGTTAGAAGTGTTAGAATTAAGTTTGGATAACATGGAAAATTTGGTATGATTCTTAGCTTTAAGAATTTGGACAAAATATGGAAGATTATAGGGTGTTGGAATAAGTTAAAGTTGTTATAGATGAATTTATTACCATGATAAGGATTTTATACATGAAAATTTGGGTGAAGTATTGATGAATTTCGGGTTATTTTGGACAGATGCATCGATACACTATGAGTATGTACCGATGCACTAAGACAATTTTGAAGGTGCATCGATGCATTAAGGGGTGCATCGATGCATAGATATTTCGAAGTTATTTTGGGTATCGATGCACCCATAGTGCATCGGTGCACTCCTAAAGGAAAAGCTGAAATTTGGTTCATTAAATTATCCTAAGTTATTAATACCAAATTATAAGGTTTAGGCTTCTGAAAATCGTCTTGAAATTAATGTTATGTAGATATCTAGCCTAAATGAGTTACGAAACAATTGAAGAGTTAGGATTGAATCAAAGCAAGGCAAAGGTGAGTGCAATTTAATTGTACTAATGTTATTGATCAAACATTGGCTTGCGATGAGCCAGTGACAGAGTTATTATGGTAAGAAGTAGTTTCTAAAATGTTATGTGATCTTTATGTGTGCATGAGTAAATGAAATGTGTATAGGTGTAATATGTGATATTGAACCACATGAAGATATATGAAAAAGATGATAGCAACTATGTGATATGCATGATATGTTATCTTATGTGTTATGTGATGTATATATGACATATGTATATGAACAAAGGAGAAATGATATAAGCCATATGAAATAATATACGTGATTCCATGTAAAATGATATGAAATATGTGACATGAATATGCAGGAAAAATTATATGAGCTATGTGATAAAGGTATGGAAATGATATGTCTATAAGAAGACATAAGAACAAGATATAAGCTATGTGACATGTGAAAGAGAATCATATGAAAATGTTCTACGTGTAAGTGAACTATGTGCCGATATGAATATGTAATAAATATGAAAGATAATGCCCATGTTATGTGTCATGAGATCTAGAGGTATAGTTGGCATGCCAAGAGTCGAGGGTCTATGCGGTCATTCGAGACAAATTCTACGTGGTCCTTCGGGACGTATATGTATTCTTTGGAGCATGTATGAGGTCTTTTGAGACACCTACTTGATCCTTGGTATATGTATATGATTCTTAAGGCATTTATATGTGGTCTTTATGGACAATCTTATATGGCACTACGGTGTATTTCTACGTGGCACTTCAGTGCAAATTCTACGTGGCACTACGGTGTAAATTTATACGAGCTATGGTGACAGCATAGTGCACAACCTCACAGTACTCACATGCCTTAAGTTATCAGTAATGTACATGGGCCTATAAAATACATCAAAAGTATTTAAAAGATTCATATGTGATACTGTGTGTATTCCTAAGTGAAATGTATTTGTTATATGAGATTGGTAATTGTTTATACAATGGCGTGATTTAGAGTTTACATTATATGTTGATATGGTATATAAAGAAATTAGTGATGATAGAATGAGAAATGATAAGCATGTTAATGATGTTATGTTATATGATATGTACATGTATGTATATATATTACAGAAAAGAATATATGTTTTGGTACGATAAGGTAATATCAAATGTTCATGCATTGTAGAATTTACAGTTAGCATAAAATTATGTTCTATATACCTTATTAAGTCAACGACTTAGCGTGTGATTGTTTCACGCGTAGGTTCCGAGAAGAGGAAGATTGGTAAAAATTATGCACTACAGGTCAATTTCTCCTTTCCAAATATCAGATCAGAAAAGAAATGTATAGTATGTATTTTGTAATAAGGATAATGGTTGACATGTAAATAAGGGATTTAAATCCGATATGTTCTAATCGGTTTGAAAAGTCATATGATTGAGTTTTGTAATGTTTTAAATGCATATATGTAATTGATAAATTTATACGGATGAAAGCTTAGATTTTTACGAGTTTATACATATTTTTACAAAAGTACTGTAGCAGTACATCGATGCACTGAAGCAGTATTGTAGCAGTGCATCGATGCACTGTAGCAGTGCATCAATAAATAATTTATATTCGAAAATTTTCACTGTTAATGGTATTGTTCATGGTAATGTTCACGGTAATGTTCATACCGTATTTTACTGTTCATAAATATGTTTTGCTTCAAAATTTTATAACAAACACAATTGAACAATTTATGATCGTATTTTCTTAATATAAGTTAAAATATTCTGTTATTTTGCAAGAATAAAGGTTTTTAAATGTCAATGTGACATCTCAAACTCGTATCTGGATTGGATACGGGTTGGGGTATTACATTTAATGGTATCAGAGCTACGGTTTAGCCGATTCTAGGCTAAAAACGAAGTCAA